TGGGGTTAGGAATGGAAACCCAGTGGCTTGTAGGACCCTCTGCCCTCCTCTCTCTCTCTCTGCTGCCCCTTGGGAATGGGTTTGTGCATCAAACCTGCCATGCCATGGGAAGGGAAGGTGAGGATCCATCCATGTCACCTGGGAACTGCTGAACAGGAGCAGCCCCTGCCTGAGCTAAAGCTTTTCCTTTCCCAAGGCAAAGGCTTTCGTGGGGCAATTTTTTTTTCTGTATAAGGCAGCCCTGACAGGTCAAAAATAGTTGATAATAGAATCATGGAATGGTTTGAGTTGGAAGGGACCTTAAATCTCATCTTGTTCCACCCCCTGCCATGGGCAGGGACACCTTCCACTAGCCCAGGTTGCTCCAAGCCCTGTCCAACCTGGTCTTGGACACTTCCAGGGATGGGGCAGCCACAGCTTCTCTGGGCAACCTGGGCCAGGGCCTCCCCACCCTCACCTTGGATCTAAATCTCTGTTGTCTGCTCACTGCTGGGGTTGTTTGTTGACCTACTGAGCAGGTGCATGGCTGGCATAAATCAAAGCCTGCAACCACATTTAATATCATTTCTTGTCCCTTTTTGCACCCATGTGAGAGACTGGAAGGATTATGGAGTAGCAGGATATGGATTCTTCTAGGAATAAATGAGTTTTTCTCTGCCACGTAAATACACCCACATTTTATTTTTGGAAAATGTTCCTCCCTCAATCTTCATTCCAAGCACTAATGAGATGGGATGACTTGTAAGATCCCGGGTTGGAAAGATTTGAGGAGACTGGGAGGAGGAGGGACTGCAAGAATATTCTTTGCTTATGTGTGTCCATGGGTGCCCTGCACATTATCCACCTTCTCCAGGTGTCTTGGGGTTTGTTTCTCCTCAAAGCAGGAGATGTGATCCTAAGCTCATGAGTGAGGGCACACAGAGGAAGTGGGAAGTGAACTTGAACTGGTGATGGTGTTGTTCCATGGCAGGAGGCCGTGCCTCTGCCATCACCAGGACATCCAGTCCTGTTTCCATGTGTGTCTGTGCTTCTCTCCCACCCCCAATCCCTGTTTTCTGGGGTTCCCTGGCTGCCACATCGAGCACAGGGAGGTGTTTGTCCAAACTCTTTCTGTAGTGAGTGAACAGAGCAGGGGAAATGTGAGGATCCAGTCTGTGCCCCACTGCCTTTAGAGAAAGAGTCTCTTGGGAAGCTGCTCTCCTTGGCTTCATCCCTGCCCCTCATCCTCACTCCCTGTGGGTGCTGCTGGCTGAGTTGCCTGCCTGCCTTCTTCCCTGTGCTCCTGAGTGCTTGGGCAGGAGAGGCCAGGGCTCCAAGGGGTGCAGTCCTTTCTGCTTTGGTTCTTTTTTGGTTGCCACTGCTGTCCCCGTGGGTGACAGGGAGCCCTCTCCTGCCTTTGTCCAGCAATGCTCTGCTCTGCTCCTGCCCCCAGACCCGCCCTCCTACCTGGCTGCCAGGTGAACCAGCCTCTGGGAGTTGATCTGTTGTTTCTCTGCAGAGAAAGGAAAGGAAAAGTTTGGGTTGCAAGCTGAAAAGTAAAACGGAATCCCTGGGTCTGAAGATGTTTCATTTTCCCTGGGAAGGGAAAGGAAGAGCAGAGCAAGAGCATAAAGAGCAGCTGATGTCCCCATGACACGACAGCTCGGAGAGCAGCTGTGGGAAAGCCCCACATGTGGCTCCCTTCTGCTTCTGTGGGCAGGAAACCTTCCACAGAAGGGCTCTTGTGTCCCTTTTGGGGGGCTGGCTGTTGTCCTTGCCAAGGTGCTTGGCATTGCAAGGACAAACACTGGCCCTGTTGTAGAAGTTTGGGGAAGCTGAGGCCAAAGGGCAAGAAGTGCCTGTTGTCATGTGGACCAGACACCCCACACCTGGCTGGGAAAGGTCTCCCCAAAATGCCAAATCCCACTGGGATGGACAAAGTGCTGCCAGCTCACCTGGGAGAAGGTTTTGCCTGACTCCTTCCACACCAGGGCAAAGCTACAGAGCCCCAAAGCCAAACCAGTCCTCCTGCATATTCCACGGGATAAATTGTCCTGGAAGGGATTAGATTAGTGGATTAAGGGAAGTGCCTTGCAGCTGGGACTGTTCCTTAGAGCCAGACTGTTACCTGCAAAGCTGTGGGGAACATCTTGCTGGCATTACAAAGAAAATAATAATAATAATGCCACGTCCTAAATCTCTGCTGGGTGTTGTGAAACAGCAGATGGGTGAGGGAAGGTTTTAACACCAGGATGGGGCTTTGGGCCAAGCTCAGGTGTGAGCCCAGAGCTGGGCTTTGTGCCTGGGCAGGTTTGGGGCAGCACTGAGCGAGCTGGGGGTTCTCAGGGGTGGTGCTGGCAGGCTGTGTTTGCTCTGGGTGAGGGGCCCGGGCGCAGGAGTGGTTTGGTGCTGAGAACACACCTGTTATCAGCAGGCAGGGAGGGCCCTGAAACCAAAGCCGTGTCTGTCCCAGCTCGGTTCCACCTCTGCTTGCCTGCAAACTACTTAAGTAGCTTTTCCTGAATGCTGCAGTTCCCGGGCTGGGCGCTGCAGGGATCACCTGCCACCGTGGGGAGGAGGTGAGTCCTGGCTCTGTGAGCCTCCCAAATCTTCCTTTTCCATCTCCTGTCCTCACAGATCAGCAGTTCAGGGGATTTTCCGTGTCTGCACTGGCATTTCTTTCCAGCTGAGCCAATCCATGTCTGTGTATTCTGTGAACAGAATTAAGAAGTAGGTATTGGGACAAAATGCAGTTTAAACAGAGAAGTTCATCATTTGCTGCTGCTGTATCTACAGCTGGGTTGCTGTTGACAGCTTCTCACCTCTGGCTGGTGTTGCTTCTGAGTACGCTGGGATTTATTTTCTCGTTAGAGCCCTCTGAGAGTGTGGAGGGGGAAGAGAGACGGGTCTTTTCCTACCTCCTGATAAGAAATTCAGCCTTTGCCTCCAAACTGAAATTCTCAGGCAGTGGGGATGGGCAGATTCCTGCTGCCTCCTCAGTGCTCGGGATGTCACAGCAGTAAAAGGGAAGGAAATAATTTTTAATCCCTGTGTGTGTGAGAGACATCTTTTACTCGAGGCTTGGGCTTTCTCTTGAGATAGATCCCCCTCTCTAAGCTCTCCAGACCCCAGACTAGAGCAGACAGTGGCCATTACATCTCCCTTTGAGGTCTAACCCGGAGTGGTGGTGGCTCAGTTAATTTTGCCTTGTGACTCTGCTTCCTCCAGTGAGCAGCACCCAGGCTTGTGCTGCTGGAGCTGCAGGGCTGCAGCTTAAATTCCTCCCCCGGGGCTGTGAGCCAGCTGGGCACCCATCCCAGCCGAGACATCCTGTGTCTAACCCACATCTGAGCAAGGTGGTCGCTGCCCCCATCCCTTCCTTGCAGACCCAGAGCACTGAAGTGATGCTCAGCATGGCTGAGGGTTCCTTTGAAGCCATCTCTGGTGATTAAAGTGAAAAACCGGTGCTGTTCCCCCTCTGTTTGCTATTTGACCTTGGGCAAGTCGCTTAAATGTTCACAGTTGTTAAAAGGAGGGATGTTCTGTGACAGTTGAGGTCTCGGGGAGCGCGTGGAGGGGGAAGGTGAAGGATCCCAGAAGGAAAATAATTGGTACTTATTGCGTGTAATTGGCAGCCTGACAACTCCTGAGCTCTGGAGTGGTGCCTCTCCTCTGCAGCAGCAGGAGGCAGAGCAATGCCTAAACCTCATCCCCACACTGGCAGCTTCACCCAGTCACTCCCCCGTGGGTTATCTGGCTGAGGGGAAGAAAGAAAAGTCACGGAAACTGTCCCATCTGTACCTGTCTCTTAACACCTGTGCAGTGATGGAGGTCAAACACATCCTCTGTGAAGTCAGGGGTCACTAATTAGCACCTCATTGGGTGATAATGGGGAGTTTGATCCCTGTCCAGTGTAGCTGTGGGAGGGCTCTGGAATTGTCAAGGTTGGAGAAAACCTTTAAGATCGTCAAATCCAACCATCTCCTGCATTCTGCTCATCCCTCTGACGAGCAGCACTTCCAGCTCTGCCAGGTCTGTCCCTCTCCCTTAGGGGTGAGAAATCAGAGCACATCAACCCTGAGAATGAGGCAACAGATTGTTTTACTCCTAAATTAGTGTTTGTGAAGGAGCTTAATGTCTTGCTAACCCGTTCTGCCTTTCCCAGAATAACCACGGGCCACCTTCTGGAGGTGCTGTTAGCAAAGCAGCAGTTTGGTGGGCTGGGTGTTGGTAACCCTGCAGGATTCCTTTCCTTTAGGACTGACACAGTGACAGGCTCATAACAGGTTACTGAGAGGCATCTGCTGCCTCCTGCTCAGCCCCTGCCCTGGTCTGGTGGCCTCTCCCCTCTGAAGAAGCTGGAGAGAGGGAGCACGTTACAGGGCAAATAAATGACTCAGTCTAATGAGTAAGGTAATTGCCATTCACTGTTAGATGAGGCTAAAGTGGGTCAGGTTTGTTTGTGAAACTCCATGGAGGCACCATCTGTTCTCTGTGCCCCGTCTCAGGGGCTGGAGATGGGATTTGGGTGAAACTGCTTCCCTGGGAGGCTGTGGAGCAGCACAGGAGATGTCCTGGTCATTAGGCAGGGGTGTGGGGCTCTGGAGGTGACCCTGTGTGGCTGTAGGGAAGTGCCTGCAGCCCTGATCCTCAGAGGGGGCCCTTAATTGATTTCACTGGGAGAGGGGACCCCAAATCCTTTGTCTCTCTGCTACAACTGGCCAGCTCTAAGATAAGGCTGGACAGGACACTGAGAGGTCATTAGACCTCCCTTAGCCCGAAGGCAGGATTGGATTTTCCCAAACCATGTCTGACAGGTGTGTGTCTCACCTGTCACAAACCCTTGGAGAGAAACCTGGCACCAGTGTGGTTTGTGTCCTTTAACCCTGCCTCTGTCCCAGATCCTCCCATGCCTGCAAGCCCGTGGGGATGGGGACTGTCCCTTTCAGGGATGAGGTGTCTGTGATACCTGGTTTCAGCCCTCAACCCTGCTGTGTCTAACAACCTCTCTCTTCTCACAGCCCACAGCATGTGAGCAGCAGGGGAAGCCTGGAGTGGGATCCCTGCCTGCCCACGCCTGGACTCGACACTGCTGGGGCCACATCTTGCAGTAAGAGGAAGAGGAAAAGACAGTTCAGCCAGCACTGCTAAAAATGGGAAGCAGCATCTATCCAGCAACCCGGGAAGGGGAGCTCCAGGGGCATCCCCGGGAGTGCTGCTGCCGGATGGACACAGCCCTGTGCCAGTGAGGGGTCAGGGCAGCGTGGCTCGGGGGGCTCTGGGGGCAGCATGTTCTTCCAGAGCCGCAGGACCCAGCTGCTGCTGGTCAACTCGCTGACCTTCGGGCTGGAGGTGTGCCTGGCTGCAGGGATCACCTACGTGCCACCGCTGCTGCTGGAGGTGGGCGTGGAGGAGAAGTTCATGACCATGGTTTTGGGTAGGCGGCTTTTATCTCCTCTTTGAGGTGCTCGTTTCCCCTTTGAGCCTGGAGGGCAGGGGTGAATGAATGCAGGCCTGGTGGTCGCAGGGCTACTCTTCTATCAAGGGCAGCCTTGTGTTTGGAGGAGGGGGCTGTGAGCCACTGAAGCCTCCTAAGTTCCTGAAGCATCCCAGGCTTTGTAGAGTGTGTACAAACCAGCGTCCTCCGGACCTGTCCTCTTAACACCACCTCTTCCTCTTTTCCAGGGATAGGACCGGTCCTTGGCTTGGTTTTTGTCCCTCTGATCGGATCTGCCAGCGACCACTGGCACAGCAGCTACGGCCGGAGGAGACCTTTCATCTGGGTGCTTTGCCTGGGAGTGCTGCTGAGCCTCTTCGTGATCCCCCACGCCAGCAGCCTGGCCAGCCTGTTTGCCCTCAACCCTCGCCCCCTGGAGATCGCCTTCCTCATCCTGGGCATCGGGCTGCTGGATTTCTGCGGCCAGGTGTGCTTCACTCCCCTGGAGGCCCTGCTCTCCGACCTCTTCCAGGAGCCAGACAACTGCCGCCAGGCCTTCTCCATGTACGCCTTCATGATCAGCCTGGGGGGCTGCATCGGGTACCTGCTGCCAGCCATCGACTGGGGGGGCAGCTTCCTGGCCCCCTACCTGGGAGGGCAGGAGACCTGCCTCTTCAGCCTCCTCGCCGTCATCTTCCTCGGCTGCGTGCTGGCCACGCTCTTCGTGACGGAGGAGGCGGCCGCCCAGGGGGACGCTCTGGATGGCCCGGCGCTGAAGGACACGGCCCCGAAGCCCTCCCCTGCCCGCTGCTCCTGCCAGCTGTCCCGGGGCTCCTGCCTGCTGCAGGCCAGGCGGGCGCTGCAGGCCCTGAGGAACCTGTGCTCGCTGGTGCCGCGGCTGCACGGCCTCTACTGCCGCATCCCCCGCGTCATCCGCCGCCTCTTCGTGGCCGAGCTCTGCAGCTGGATGGCCCTCATGACTTTCATGCTGTTCTACACCGACTTCGTCGGGGAAGGGCTGTACCACGGCGTGCCCAGGGCCAAGCCGGGCACGGATGCCAGGCGGCACTACGATGAAGGTGAGGAGGGAACCGGCTGCTCTGAGGCTGTGGTGCCCATTCTCCGCCTGGGCAGGAGCGTTTTGTGGGAGCTCAGCTCTGCTACTAAAGCAAAAAAAAAAAGTTACGGGAAACGTGACTTTCTGCAGGAAAAAAACATTGTCCCGTGGCCCCCAGAGCGTGGCACAGGGGGGGGTCAAATTGGGAAACACCTCCTTGTTCTCTGAGCTTCCCAGAGCAGAGTCAGACCTGGCAGGGCAGCCCTGGCCTGGGGCTGGATTGTTAAGTGGCAGAACGGTCTGGCAGGTTGCGCGCTGGACAGGATGGATCCGGCTCTGCCTGCCAGCTGTGGTTGCTGCTGCCAGGTCCTTTCAGTGCTCTTCCCTCCTTTTTAAACGGGTGGGAATGGTGCTCCCCATCCCTGGGAGAGCCGGGGTTGGAAAGCCAGGATGTGCTCTGTAGCAGTGAGGTGGGATTTGCTGTACCTTCCTTCCCAGCTACTATGAGATTCCCATCCCACAGCTGTATCTGGGGAGCCCTCAAGCAGCTCCCCCAGCTCTCAGCCCTCTCTCCAGTGCTTCAGTGCCGACCACAAGCCTGGAGCTGCCACGTCCCCATCCCAGGACAGAGCTCCCAGCAGCACGTTACCTGCTCACTGGGGTTCCTGCTGTCCCATTTTGGCTGCTGTGTTGTGCCAGAGCCTTGACTGGCTGCCTAACCCTCCTTTTCCTCTCCCTAATCCAAATCTTTTATTCTGAGAGGCACCTTCCTGGCCCTCGTCCTGCAGCTGTATATCTTGCCCTCTGCAAGCACACTGCCTCTTTGTGCTTGGGTGTCTGTTTAACTTACAGGGAGCTTAATTATTATTTAACACTTGCACCGTTTAGCTCCCAGCAGGTCAGCACTGCATTGTGCTGGCTGTCATAGAAACATGTGCTGAGTAATGATCCTTGCTCCAAAGAGTTAATGGTTTTAATTCCCTGAAATCTGATAGATCTTTGCAGAGGGTAAGGTCCGGGATTGCTACCGGATACTGCAGAGGTTTAGTGGATGTTCTATACTTTGCTTTGGCTTGAGCACAGTTCCTTGTTCCTTTTGTTCTGCTGCTGGCTTTTGGCATCAGGTGAGAACAGATCCTGGTTCACGAGCAGGTGACAGGTCCTGGGGCAAGAGCAGGAAGGTGCAAACAATGACTTCCAAAGACAAGAGTGGCATTTGGATTCCCCTCTGGCATTTGGATTCCCTTCAGTCAGCCTGGGGTGCCCGGGAGCAGGGCTGGTGGAGGGGGCAGCTGCAGGCTGGGATTTGTGAGGTGATGCTGCTCTGCTTCCTGCCCCAGCCAGGCTGTTTGTGGCTGTGCCACGCTGTGTGTGGAGTGTTTGGAGCTTGGAACTGAAGGAGAGGGAAGGATTTGACAGGAAGCTGAACATGAGCCAGCAGTGTGCCCAGGTGGCCAAGAAGGCCAATGG